TTTTAGTGTAGGTTCCAAAGTCAGGCAGGGGGAGTCGTACTCCCACGAAAACTGTGGTCTGGCGTGGCCAGCCTGCCTGGGGACTTCTTGTCCCAAAATCAAAAAACGGTCTGATGTTGTCATTGACTTCATCACCCGTTCTGTTTGGGGTTCAGAACTTAATACGTCCCCACGCAGATCATCGGGTGTCACGAGCCTTTTTAATCAACGGAAAAGTAGAATCCAGGCAGAATTAACAACATCTGACATGTTGATAACGCCGATAATGTCCGTTACGAAAAGAGCAGTTATATATTTATGACGCTATCACTAAATGAGCTCGATATTTGCTCAAAGCGCTTCCTCTCCAAGATATTAAGCAAGGTTTCAACCCAGCATTAACACCGACAGACGCCTTATGTTGAAAAAAAAACTTTACGGCTTTTACCACTTTCAAACAATAAGCCTACTTCCGGTTTAAACCGAAAGGAATGGTTATGTGATTTGACTTACATGAGACGAAATCAAGACCACATTTTATCCTGGCACTTGCTGCAAGCAGAATGTTGCGGGAGGCCACGGTTGATTTTATATGGGTTTTTATACATTTAAAGGAATATTTAAGTATTCACAATTTAATAACAAATCACGTGATGACGGCATCATGACATAAATATTTTAGAACTATCTTCGTTGTATAGTTAGTGCTTGCTGTAAGTTTGACGGTGATCAATGATTACTGAGGTACGAAATTAGTGCCTCAAATACGTGTACTAAGTCAATGGGCTGAAATAAATATTTAAAAATTGATAATAAATCACATGATGACGTCATCACGACGTCATAGATTTCGACGTATTTTTGCATCAAGGTCTTTCTTGGCTAACTTTGAAGTTGATCAAAGCTCTCAAACTAACCCAAATGCTTGCTTGAAAACGTGTACAACGTCAATGGGCTAAAATAAATATTGAAAAACCACGAATAAATGACATGATAACGTCATCATGACGTCCTTTACTTACAATAATTTTTGTATCACGGTCTTTGTTGGCTGTCATTTTGATAACCATCAAACATCGGAAGGTTTTTAAATTATTCCTTGAAAACGTGTACAAAGTGTAGGGCAAAATACTCACTTGCGGAAACACTGCTCCTTTAAGTTCATGTCACGTGGTTTGCACTTAAACTGAACCCTTCTAATAATATATTACTTCATATTCGGACTCTTAGGCATATTTCAAATCAAATAACAGAGGGTAAAGTACCCGATTTCTCCTTCGATCTTATAGTAATCTTGCGCCGAAGTTAAAGACTACTTGTTCACTTGTGTTAAGTAGAAAAACGTGTACAAAACCAAGGGGGAGAAGTTAGATATTCAAAAATGAATATAAAATAAGGTGATGATGTCATCATGACGTCATCCCTTTGCAATAAATCTTGAATCGGGGTCTTTGTTAGCTATAATTTTGCCATCGATCAAACATTGCAAGGTCACCAAAATTGTCGCTCAAAAACGTGTGCAAAGTCAATGGGCTATGAATTCGTTTGCAGAAATACTGCTCCTTTAAGTTCATGTCACGTGATTTGCGCTTAAAGTAAACAATTTTTACGAAATATTACTTCATATTCGGACTCTTAGGTATATTTCAAATAAAATAGCAGAGCATAAAGTACCCGATTTCTCCTTTGTTCTCATAGTAATCCTGCGCCCTATGGGGAAAAATTTAATGTTCAAAAATGAATATAAAATAA